AATACATACAATTACAGTTATTTATATAATATTTACACGCACAAACACACAGATTTTTTCCCTTTGCAGTTGGTAGTGTGCAAGCAGAAGCGCATCTGATCTTTCCTGAGAAGGTGCTGAGGCTGCTAATTCTTACTCGCAGTAACGTGTGTTTCTTCAATCTCTTTTGTGGTCAAATCTATCAAAATCAATTCAATAGATTTACAGTTGCGGTTGTTGCAGGGTTCCTGTTTCTTCCCTATGGGCAGAGGACTGCAAACCTCCACCCTGCAGAAGGCAAAGACTTGTTGCATGCAGAGATCCTGGATCCTGAGGAATTGGCGGTGGAATTTCTCCAATTGTCAGCCATGACCTTAGCTGTGAGCAAAGCTACATTAATACTCATTTGTCCAAGCACTTGCCAACAACCAAGTCTCTTTCTCAATGAAAAAAAAATAATAAAATGTACAGAGAGTAGAAATGGAAGGAAATTGGTTGCAAATCACCTGTCATAGGTCCCTGGTAGGCTCCGAGAAAGTGACACTCGACCTGATCATGTCATACAAAGAACCAGGTAGGAGAGACCGTGTTAGGTGAGGTTACTGGGATGTATGGAGACACATCTACAGAGGAAATGCAAACATAATCATCCCATTTACGTTTCAGTTTCTTATCAGGTGTCTGACACATATTTTATCACTGAAATACTAAGGTTGCTCTCATTTAGTTACAAAACGTGGCGAATGACCGGGAGCTCACGGCTGAACTTGGATGGAGGGGCACACCAGCAGGAGGGGATCAGTCCCGACATGGACAGTGTCATTGCATTCTCTGATCAGTTTGTTCTCACTTGAGTAGTCTCATCACAACACAACTATTTCTCCAAGAGATATGGGCAAGATCATATTATATTAAAGGAAAGTCTTAGTGTCACTACTGAAACCTCTGAAAGACTTGCTCTCCAGAAGCACTCAAGTGGGATGACATCTTCACAGACCTTGGATGGGATATTCTAGGGAGAAAATACAACATCCTTCCCATAATATAAAGCTCATAGTATAATCTCCCTAATCTGACAGATTTGAAGGAAAATTATATTGTATTTTAGCATGGCACACCAGGATTCCAAATATCCTGTGTTTGGGTTGATGATAGCTCCTATTTTTTTATTATATATCTTTTCTAACCAAGAGATACTGTAGCCTGGCCAAAAACAGCCCAAAGGGGGACCTGAAGGTGATCCAGGGGTACAGAGGGAGAGGAGCTTAACACCAGAAAGGGAGGAAAACATGTTTTAACGTTGCTGGTATGAGAATAATTGACTCTAAATTGGCTGTGAACACGTTTACGCTGGACAAGAACAGGGGTGGCAAACTGCCCAGCAGTGAGGTTCTGCAAAAATCAAACACATCCTCCCTCGTCTACGTTTTAATTGGTTTTAAGATCGATCAATTTGTGAGCAGGGGCATGGTGGGTGGTTGCTGGCAGCAGGAATGCCCAGGAATACCACAAGCCCCAGTCTCACTGAGCACCTTTCCTTGCTGGGGCACGTTCCTGTGGGATCTATGGGGTGACACTGGAGTCGGGCGTTTAGGGAAAGATGACAGAAAACTTCTGAAGACTGAAGGTCCCAGAACTGCAGGACTGCATGAGCTGTGGGTCACTAAGCTCCTTTGCCTGAAGGAAAATCACATGGTTAGTACGTGCTGGTTTAGTTCCTCTTGGGCTGCTGAGCCTGATGCTGGCATTGTGGTGGGGCAGCCACAAACGAGGGAGCACACTCCTGTGGTGAGGCTTTGTTGGGAGAAAAAAAAAAAAAATCAGAAATGTAATAATAAGCTTTCTTTATAGCTTTTTATAGCTTTATGGGAAAATACAAGAATTAATCCAGATGGCACCCAATCTCTTTATTAGCATATATAGGCAGAGAGTGCTTATAATACCAAACTGTATATTTTTTATTGAGCTGCTCTAGAAAGCCATTCTTCTGATGGATCACAGTTCTTCTCGGGGAGGAAGAGAGTTTCAATTATCCTTTGATACATGAAAAAACATTACTAGCGAGTAAGCCCTCCAAAAATGAAACCAGGTAAGCCTCTTCCTCTAAGGGTGGAAAAAAACTGGATTATTCTGACTAAACTACTCACTACAAAGGGATTTCACTGACCTTACAAGGCAGTAAAAGAGAAACCAACTCGAACAAAAAGCTGATGTTTTAACTGATGATCTCAGTTTTTAAGTTTGGGGATTAGGAATTGCCCCAAAAGCTGTTGAAACTTAACGTAGCAGAGATTCAAGTGCTGGGTGTCAAGAAGGAAACTGCTCCAGCATCAGCGGAGGACAATCCCTGTGTGTGGGGCTCACAGCTGCAGCTCCACCTTGTTTGGGTGAACCAGCAGTTCCTTTCCCAAATTAAGAGGAAATTTCACATGTCTGAGGATTTCTGTGGGGCTGACAGTAGCACACCCTTCCGTAACTCTCCAAAAACTGGCTGATATGAGATGAGCTCAGTGTAAAGATCCTCCGCTAGTTAACGCCTTCATCACATAAGCCAGCACCACTTTGATGAGCTCTCAAGGACTTGCTCCTTTCTTCAAATCATAATTGTGCATTTGTAGTGTGATTTGTAATGTGTTTGCCCTCTTTTAGTCTATTCTCTTTTATCGCTCCTTGAGTCCCACCCAGGATTCAAGCCTGGCTGGAGAAGTGGTGGGTTGGTAGCACAAATGAGATCAAAGAACTTCGTAATTGTATGTGGGATTTCACATTCAAACTACGTGCTTCGTGACAGAAATGAACTCACATGGCTTTGTTGGAGGCAATGAAAGGGGAGTACTCTAATAATGTCCTTATTCTCCCAGATAATCCTGAGAAAGAATTTAAAACAATTGGAGAGTTAACCATGGGCTCCACCTACCTCTGCCTTGGGAAGGCCCAGCTCAGTCCCAACAGCCACCCCCATGGAAACCACCCTCCCTGATCCCAACAGCCAAGAGCTGTAGCTGCTGCAAAGTCCACGTTTGCACAACTATGCATTTAACATCCAATTTAAAAAAATCCATCAGAAACATTGTACCAGATGGGGTACCCAAGAACCGAATCACAGGGTGATTTGTGTTTCGCAAATTTCATAGCAAAGCTGCCGCTTCAAACTCCCTTTGTCTGATTGTCAGTCCAAAAAATTTTACAAATACAACATTCGTTTTCACACCGAAATGAAAAAGAACAAAAAAACCACCAACCAACCGAAGACTAGGAAATAGGTATCTCAGTTTGTACTTCTTGCTCATGGCCCAGAGGTGATTTGTGTTTCGCAAATTTCATAGCAAAGCTGCCGCTTCAAACTCCCTTTGTCTGATTGTCAGTCCAAAAAATTTTACAAATACAACATTCGTTTTCACACCGAAATGAAAAAGAACAAAAAAACCACCAACCAACCGAAGACTAGGAAATAGGTATCTCAGTTTGTACTTCTTGCTCATGGCCCAGACAAAGTGTAAAATCCCACTGCCTTTTCAGGGCTTACACTGGGAATATAGAGGGAGATAACACTACTCCTAAATCAACATCTGAAAGAGAAAACCAGCTTTTCTTAGCACCTTCTTCTGCACCCAAGCAAGCGGAGTAAAACTAAAACAGGCATGGGAAATAAACTTCCTTTCACACAAAGACCTGGGCTTTTCAGCACAGATAATCCTGCCCTGAAAGAAGAGGACTGTGGTCTTTGGCTGTCAGTCCAAAACCTTTATCAAGCACTCAACGTGGTCCTTGACCAAGGGAAAGAAAAATCAAAATGCAAAGAGGAAACATGGATTTCAGTTTGCAGTCTTAGCTCGGGATCTAAACCAGCAAGCACCATCTTCATTGCATTATCTTCAGGCTGTCTCCACCACAGCTGCCCGAGCACCAGAGGACATCTCTGGGCACTTTCCGAGTCCTCCCTTCCCATGGAGTCCCCCATCACGCCGCCGCCACCAGCCTGCAGCCCCAGCTCTGCCTGGCGCTTCCAAGATGCTTCTCCTGGCCTCTGCTGATCAATGGGCATCCAAAATTCACTTTACTTTGAGTCTGTTTTTGGAAGGGATAAATTCGAGGGAAAAAACGGAAGATATTCTAAAGGAAATTGAACGTTTCACATTTTACTTCAAAGTGACTGACAGATGGCCACTCCTTTTTCCCTCTTTTTCCATATTCTCTGTTTCATTTGCTCAGGACAGTGAAACTGGGTGTCATGAACTACAGCAGAACAAAGTTTGTCATCTGTTTAGTGTGGTGAAGTGATGCCAGTCCCCAGGTGGTGGGAACCTCATGCAGTGCCCACCGCGGCTCCAGCCCAGCTCCAGCCAGAAGCATCGCAGCGGCTGCTGCTCAGACCAGAAAATGAGCAAGAAAGAAGCCATCCAGGTTGCATGATGGTCAGAGACAGAACAGGAAATGTTAACAGGAGAGTCTGTGGCAAAAAAAACCCCACACATCCATTTCTGGCAGGGCTCCGAGCAGCCTCAGGCAAAGACAGCCCCTTCAAGGACAGTCAAACCAAAAAGCCCACAGAGAAGCCTCTGGGATGATCCTGCAGTTCCGTGGCTTTCAGGGGAGATCAGTGGGAGAAGACACATCAAGCTTTGTTTTCCACAAATCCTGAATTATGAGACGCACCAACCTCCTAAGCAAAAAATCTGCATCAGGGTCTCACCATACCTGACCAGCTCCTCTGTCCATAATTTAAATCCAGTGCTTGCTGGTGGGAATTCTGCTTTATTTGGCTTTTTTTTTAAGGCTGTCAAACCTCACAGTCCGTCCAGACTCAGGGCTCCCACCATCTTCTGAGCAGCTTTCCCACCCTGGTGTGGGAGATCAAGGACATTGAGAATTGCCTACAGCTGGCAGCATCCTCAGAAAGCTCCAGCCCCCAGGCATCACCAGTATGGACCATTACATCTTCAGAGACCACCAGTTAATCGGGGGAAAAACCGAGCCATCCCAGTCGCACGTTGCTCAACAAACACACATACCACTTGGCATACCTTACCTGGAAAGAGGCTTTATTGAACATAGCTGTAAAATTATCTCTTCAGTTGAATTACTGAATTTGCACAAACATTTCTCTACAGAATAAAAAAAATCAAGCCTTGTCATTGTTTTACTGCATCTCGTTGTGCTTTTTATACTCATATTTGCAAATATTATACTTGTCTCTTTGTTTGTTTTCATGTTTGTACTCCAATTACTTGCATATCAGGTTTTTTTTTTAGGGTGTCGAGAGAACACAGAATAATAATAATAATAATTATAATAATAACAATACTCTTCTTTAGACAAAAGTCTTTTTTTTTTTTTTTGAAATGAAGTTAAAAGCTGAGATAATTTAAGGAAAAAGGTCTTCAAATTGTCATAACCAACTGTAAGGGAAGTTTACAATGCAGTGGAAAACCGGCTGGCTGACGGTAGGCGTTCGGGTAGATCCAAACCATTTGTACAGCTTTCCTATTTTATTTTTTTTTGTTGTTGTTGTAAAAGTGGAATTTTTTTTAATTATTATTATTATTATTATTTTTTCTTTAATTTCGCTACAATAACAAAATAATCTTTTGCCATCTGCTCGGAGTCTGGCTGCAGGGCAGAGGCACAGCACCCTGGGAGCTCAGCCAGCCCCGGGGGTTTGCTGGGGGCTTTGGGGGTGTTTTTGGGTGTCCCCCCCATCCCAGCACACACCTCCCCATCCCGCTGGCCCCGGGGCCGGCTGCCTTTGCCAACGGAAGTCAGAGTAAGAAAATCACTTCTGTGTTTTACCACCTTCTGCACTAAGTGTATCTTAACAAACCTTTTCCTCTGGTTGACCCACTTGGTAACCTGAAAAAAAAAAACCAACAACAACCAAAAAAAAAAAAAAAAAAAAAAAAAAGGAGTGCTGCTCCCATTTTCCAGGACCAACGGAAGCTATTTTCTAATGGATAAGAAGCTGAAAGGCCATGGCTGTCTGGAAGGTTTATAAACAACAAACATCTCATCCGAAAGGGCTTACGCAGCAGCTTAGGTCCATCCATCTCCAGAAGCGGCTCCGTCTCCTTGCCTGCAGTCTGCACACCCAGGCTCTGTAGTTTGTTTAGAAAAGAGTTTGCACAAACCACATTTTAGCAGTGCAAGCTTCTGTGTTGAAACTATTATTATCATTTTTTATTTTTATTTTTTTTTTTTACTTTTTTTTTTATTATTATTTTTTTTTAAATCAGGCTTGTTTCATTGAAGGCACTTGGTTTCCATGGCAATTTATAAAAGACGGTGGTTTGGTTTCTTCACTTCATTAGAACAGATGACTTAGTTGGGGAGGGGAGAGGGGTGTTCGAGTGGCCGCAAGCAAACTCCGATAAGCCTGTGTAATATGTAAGCCCAGGTCGCACATCCTGGATAGTAATGCATGCAAAAAGGAGACAGCATACAGTTATCAAGCATAGCCATGAGAAATGAAACATAAATGTCTTAAAACAGCTCTGATTTAGGGTTATTCTCTAGGGGAGGTGACAGCCAAAGTAGAAAGGGCCTACGTTTATTTAACTCTACACTAAAAACCTTCTCGAAGGGAAAATGAATGCCAGCTCTTCACATACCCTGTTTACAGTGAGGTGTTTCTCTCTCTCTCTCTGCTTTTGTTTTTATTTCCTCTCTCTCTCCTTCCTTTTTTCTTTTTTTTTTTTTTTTCTTGGCAGGCCATTAGGTTTCCATGGTAACAAGCAAACTATTCATTTGAAACAAAACCAGCCATGACTTTGTGCTTTGACAAGGGTTTCTATAGCTCTTTTCCGAGAGTTCAACCAGATGATGCTGTATTCATTATTGACCACAAAAGCACCTGAAGGTCTCTTCCTTACTTAGGCCAGATCTCGTTCTCACGCATGGTTCATAGTGAGTTACACTCCTGTGATGCCTTTTTATGTCCCCAGTGCTTTTTAATTAATTTTTTTTTTTATTTATTTATGTATTTATTTAACTTTTGAGTCAGTCAGTGGAGGAATCTTTGGTAGTTTGTTTTTAGATGTCCATTTTACAAAGACTCTTTCTTCATGCCAGTGCCTGGTGAATCTTTTGTAGCCTCTGCCAGGATAAGGTCACCTCTGATGACTTAAGACAGACATGAGGATGATAACTGGGATAAGTCGTATATGCGCTAATGTCCCAACAGCACCTGATCGTAAATCTATAAAAAGCGGGGAAAAAAGGTAGAATTAAAGACCTGCCCAGACACAGTCACCATTGGCTCAGAAGATAAAAGGCTCAGCCACCATAACCTGCCCTACACACCAACGCCGAGGAGGACGGGGAGGACAACGAGGTGGAGGACAACGTGGTGTCACACCAGGTGCCACCGACCTCCTCCGGTCTCTGTAGGGACAGTGCTCTGCAAAGTCTCCTCCTTCAAAGAGGGGAGAAGAACAGCACTTCCCAGATGAAGGAGGCAGGAGATATTGGGATAAAAACCCACCTGGCTGGGTCATTAAGGTCTGTATTGTAACACACACGTAGGGGTGGAGGGATGAAACCAGGTCCACAGGGAATCCCAACACTGATATTGATTAAGTTCAGATTGTCTGGACCCCCTGAACATATTTTTATTTTAATGTTTTATCTGTCTGCCCATCTTGAATCCCAGCCACCCAGCCCAGCCCCACCGTGGAGGGCACCCCCTGTTCTCCCCTCATCACCCCATACGCCTTTCATCACCACTAAACCAGCATCTTCCTAGCTAAACCACGACATTTTGACTCCAGAACTTGCTTCCAAGGAAATCTTTTCACTTTAAGCCTCTCCAGCTGAACCAAACAATACATCGTTCTCCCGGAGACAACCCATTTGAGAAGGTGTCTCAAATGTATAACCACGAGAAGCAACTTGCTTTCCCCCCCCCGGCCAAGTATGGAAGAGCCACTCACTGTTGGCTGGTTGGTCTGATTTCATACACTCTCCTTCCACAATCGATACATCGTCAATAGCAATATCACCTTCGATGCCAGGGCCCCGGATCCCTTCAAATATGAGCTGCAAAAAAATAAAGACCAAGCAGATGAGCGGGTGAAGAATGGAAAACCTTCGGCTGTGTTTCGCGTGGTGTTAAACTACGGGGATGGGCTTGGAATCGTGTACAAACACTTTCTTCCTATTGTGTAGAAAAACACATCTGAGTTCACATGTCCTGGTAAGGTGAACACCGAGGGTGTGTGAGCCGTGGAGGCTTTTGCACTTCAGAATGAGCTGACAAATAGCAGAGCTGCTCATTGCTGTCTACCTGGTGTCTCCAGGTTGGCTTCGCCACGAAGCTGTGACGTGTATTTATGTCCCATATTCCTGCAGCAAAGAGCAGGATTAAATGGAGGAAAAGTTTTAAAGAGATTTGGGGTGTATTTTTTTCCCTGAAACTGCTGCCACCTGGAACGAGCAGCTGAGGCACAGCTTGAAGAACAACATCTGCAAGGTGTTGGAGGACTGAGCATCCACTCAGACACAGACCACACGAAAACACACAGGAGACAGGAGAACTCCGCAATAGAATGAGGTTTCTGGTTCTCAAAGGTGGCCAACCCAGTCCCTCCCACCTCATCTCCCACATTGGGCTCACTCATCTGCATGCCGGTGGCACCTCCCTGATGGCAGTAGGAGAGGAGCTGCCACCCTGCAACCTTCCTCTGGCCCATGAAAGCTTGGGAGAAACCTCTCAGGAGCCAGGTGGGTGTTCCTTCACACATAATGCAAAGGCTAGATTTATCTCAAGGTGTTGAGAAGGATCAACTGTAGAATGATTTGGGTTGGAAGGGTTCCAAGGTAAAAATCATCGCGTTCCAACCCTTGCCCTTGGTAGGGACACCTCCCACCAGACCAGGTTGCTCCAAACCCCATCCAACCTGCCCTTGAACCCCTCCAGGGATGGGGCAGCCACAGCTTCTCTGGGCAACCTGGGCCAGGCTCTCATCACCCTCACAGTAATTGGGTTCCCATGAGGTCCCACAGTGATCTCCTGCAATCACCTTGGTGGATTTGAACCTCTGAGATCTCCTGCCACAGCAGGAATTGATGACAGTGACAGCCCTACTTCCCTCCTGCTACTTTCAGTGGATCATCATGATATCTAGAAGCTTTGATCCCTTCTAGTTTGGTTTTATATTTATCAGAGGACATTGTGATGTGTTTCATCACAGAGAGGGTCAGATATAGATTTTATTCCTCTTTAAGGCTTTAACCTCTGCTAAATGGACATCTCAAAGTCCTATTAATCACCTTCTCTCAAATATTCCTAGTTTGAAACCCCAATTCCTACAGCTGGGACAAGAAATGACGCCTGCGTGGAGATGGATGGGTTGTTGCAAGGTTAATAATATTATTTGCCATAATATTTGTTATTAGTTATGCATTATCATTGTACTAATGACACAAAGTTATCTCCTCTCCTTCCCCAAACCCGGTGCAACGTTGCTGCCACGCTGATGCTTAATTAGCTCTGCAGAAGGGTGGGCCCTCTCCATGTCACGAGAAATTTATTCACTAGAAAAACTTCAAAGCTTTTCTAAAGAGATGAAGGAATTATGTAAGGAATATATTTCCCAAGCAGCACCATTTGCACAGTTATCTCTCCTTTCCTTCACCCCCCCGCCCTCACTCCTTTGAAATATTTTTGGTTAAACTTAGATGACAAGTTTTTTAACTTTAATCTGCAACAATATATGCATGAAATTCAATTTTGTAAGGGCGTGCTGTGGCACTAATGGAGACATTAACTCTTGGGTGTAGAGTCAATTTGGAAAAAGCCCACCATTAATTCCATCTGGAGCAAAATACTTAAATTACTCTTCATAATAATCTAACTGCATTGGGGAGATGTCTGGGGCCCTCGGGTGGGCTCGCTCTGTTGTCACTGATTTCAGCAGGACATGGATCTGAGCCTTTTTTTTTTGGCAGCTTCCGATGTTTCTTTGCTCATTAATGGAGCTTAATCAGCGCTGCTCATTTGAAATGAATACCTTTAATTATCAATGATGAGTAAACACTCAGGGCAGTGGAAGATGACCCTGTAGATCATAGCTGGTCCAGCTGGACGTGTATCACCCAAGGACCTTAGAGCCCCTTCCAGTCCCTAAAGGGACTCCAGGAAAGCTGGGGAGGGACTCTGGATCAGGGAGGGGAGCCCTAGGACATGGAGGAAGGGTTTTAAGTTGAAAGAGGGGAGATTTAGATTAGATACTAGGAGAAATTATTTGCTGTGAGGGTGATGAGAGCCTGGTCCAGGTTGCCCAGAGAAGCTGTGGCTGCCCCATCCCTGGAGGGGTTCAAGGCCAGGTTGGAGGGGACTTGGAGCAACCTGGTCTGGTGGGAGGTGTCCCTGCCCAGGGCAGGGGGTGGCACTAGATGGGCTTTAAGGTCCCTTCCAACCCAAACCATTCTATGATTCTATTACCATATCCCAAGGGTGCATGATGCCACCAGGCATTGCACGGGCAATTCTCTGCTCTGCCTTTCCGTGGAAGACGTGTCCCTCAACCTTTCTCCTCCCTTTGCTATGGCTCAGCATCCCCAGTAGATGCCTGACCCCGCAGCGATAAGCTGGCAACATCAGGCATGTATTTCCAGCCTGCCTGGTGTGTCCTAAGCCAGGTGGCAAGGTGTGTGCTGGGAGCACTAAATAAATGTAAAAGCTCTGTATTTGGAGCAGGAGACTGTCGGTATTTTATTGAAGTGCGACGCCGTAGGTTAATTGCTGTAACAAGGTGGATATTAATGCAACAGGGAACTGTAATTGGGAAAACAGTAAGTTTTTCCATAATTCACCCTGTTGTCTGAAAACAGTGTCTCAGGTAATTATCCCTCTGACTATTTTTCGCATGATGCCACCAGGCATTGCACGGGCAATTCTCTGCTCTGCCTTTCCGTGGAAGATGTGTCCCTCAACCTTTCTCCTCCCTTTGCTATGGCTCAGCATCCCCAGTAGATGCCTGACCCTGCAGCGATAAGCTGGCAACATCAGGCATGTATTTCCAGCCTGCCTGGTATGTCCTAAGCCAGGTGGCAAGGTGTGTGCTGGGAGCACTAAATAAATGTAAAAGCTCTGCATTTGGAGCAGGAGACTCCATCAGTATTTTATTGAAGTGCGACGCCGTAGGTTAATTGCTGTAACAAGGTGGATATTAATGCAACAGGGAACTGTAATTGGGAAAACAGTAAGTTTTTCCATAATTCACCCTGTTGTCTGAAAACAGTGTCTCAGGTAATTATCCCTCTGACTATTTTTTCGACTCTGCCCCTGACGATGGGAAGAATTCAGCTCGAGAGGAAAGTGTCTTCTCTTCTCCCCCCCAAGTACAGCTTGCCCCCCTGCTCCTTGGCAGCGGGCACAGCACCAGTCAATGGAGTTTACAGTCAAATCTTTCCCGATAATGAAAAAACACTGTTTCCAGACAAAGGGACTCTACACAAATACAACGGCCAGCATTTAATTAAAATCTGCATTTGGCAGCGAGCTTTATGGGCCTCAGAGAGGGGCTGTTATTAGCCAGCTTGGCCACATGCTCGGAACAAATCACTGCAGATGAGTGTTGGCAGGGCACGGAACACCATCCAGCCTGCGGTTCCCTGCCATTGGCAGGAGCTGCCAGATGATCAGAACTCCCTATCAGCATCCCGCAAACCCTATTATCTGCATGGCCGTGACTTTACAAAGCTGGTGTTAAAAATACTGCATTTAGCTGTGGAACAGAGGGGCTTATGGTCACAGCAAAGGGCACTCTGCTCTTTTAACAAGAGGAGACTGAAATTAGCCCCTATGGTGCTTCTGAGCATCTCTGGGGGATTCAGCTTGTGCTTCTTCAACAGGATTTCAGATAGAATCATAGAATCATAGAATCATTGAGGTTGGAAGAGACCCTTGGGATCATCGAGTCCAACCATCTACCCTACTCTACAAAGTCCTCCCCTACACCATATCCCTCAGTACCGCATCTAAACGTCCCTTAAACACATCCAGGGATGGTGACTCAACCACCTCCCTGGGCAGCCTGTTCCAATGCCCGACCACTCTTTGGGTGAAAAATTCCTTCCTAATGTTCAATCTAAACCTCCCCTGTTGGAGCTTGAAGCCATTCCCTCTCGTTCTATTGTTAATTACCTGTGAGAAGAGACCAGCACCAACCTCTCTACAGTGTCCTTTCAAGTAGTTGTAGAGAGTGATGAGGTCTCCCCTCAGCCTCCTCTTCCTCATACTAAACAGCCCCAGCTCCTTCAGCCGCTCTTCATATGATTTGTCTTCCAGGCCCTTCACTAGTTTCGTTGCCCTCCTCTGCACTTGCTCCAGCACCTCCAGATCTCTCTTGTATTGAGGTGCCCAAAACTGGACACAATACTCGAGGTGTGGCCTCACCAGTGCCAAGTACACGAGGTGAGATGGATTTTACCTTCCTGGCCAGACTCCTAATCTGTAGAGAGGGGCCTCATGGACATTCCCAGCCAGAGAGGGTGACGACAAGGGTGTAAAAGCCCTTACACTTGCTGTAAGGGGCTGAAAATCTCAGTGGTCCAGCAGGGCCACTTACTTCAGGGCAGATCAGTCCCTCTTCTGCAAAAAAAGGTCTTTGCCACAAGGAAAGCATCACTGAGGGTGGTGGCAGTGCTCCTGCTCAAATCTGAATTAAAACTGCCAGCACACAATGTATCACTTCCACGTGCTCTCTTTATTGTGTGTTTATTCTTAAAAAATACTTAATAAGCAAATATCTTACTGAGATGACTTTTATGCAATACTTTTTGTGATTCAAAGCACTGTAGTCCTCCCAGTTCTTCACGACTGAAGCTTTGTTGTATATCATGGGGACTGGGAAGGTATAAAACAAGTCTGGGTAGCACTTTTGCTCATATAAATTAACCTATAAAAAGTTTTAATTCCTGTGTCAGTGCACTGTTTTACTGCAAAGATTCGCTTCAATTCACTCTCCTTAAATTTAACTGGGAGGTTTATATTCTTTCCTACTTAGACTCCTAAATGGAAAATAAAGTTTGTTTGATGCAAGAGCGGCTAAAAATGTAATTTAAGGTTCCAACCACCCTGACATTTATTTGTTATATTTGTGCAGAGCTTCACGGCTTTACATTCATTTTATGCTGAAGCCTTTAAACACAACAGTGTAAAAGGTGAAAAATAGCCAGGCAGAGGAGCTTCCATTCTGTGTCCCAGTTGGTGGCCCCAGTGAAGGTGGTTTTAAAGCATGGTGAGTGAGGGGCACCAGTAGCAGAAGTGACCCCGTAACTTTTCTGAAAGCCACGGGTCCCTACGCAAGGGCTGATGCTCAGATTCCAGGGTGGAAGCAGTGACCTGGGTACCAGGAGCTGCTGGCTCCTCTGCCAGTGCCTCACCCCAGCTTGCCCTTCCACCCAGCCCCGTGTCCTCCTCTCCATGAGGTGACCCCAGGTGTGCACCCCATCACCCTCCTCCACTCCTTGTCATTGCTGGTGCCAAATCTTTGCATATCTCTGCCCAGAGCTGGTGTCCTTGCTCTTCTCCTGCTTCTGCTCAAGCCTGGCCAGGTCTCAGGAACCCATCTCAGATGCAACTGCCACCACTTTGGTTTCATTGACCAATCCCTCTCCGACATAACTGTGACCACTTTGGTCTCAGCTTTCCCAGCCATCTCTTCCCTCCCTTTATCATTCCATTTATTATGTTCAGATAATAAATTATTTTCCTTTCCTTCACTGTTCAGACTTCTTGGGTTTACCCTGACTTCATCAACGCAAAGCTCACCCGCCCTGACCAGCTCCCTTCTACTTGGCCCCATGCTCCGAGTGGCCTTTAACACCCGTGTCCCTCTTCTCTGCGCTTCTCCTCCCCAATTCTGCCACTTTGCTCCACTCAAACATCATGTCACGTTATCACAGAATCACAGAATCTTCTAGGTTGGAAGGGACCTTAAAGATCATCTTGTCCAACCGTCAACCTGACTGACAAAAATAGACACCCACACAACAAACAAGGAGCATCATCACTAAACCAGACCTCCCAGCACTACATCAACCCGGCTTTGGAACACCTCCAGGGATGGTGCCTCAACCACCTCCCTGGGCAGCCCATTCCAGTGTCTGATAACCCTTTCAGTGAAAAAAATTTTCCTAATATCCAGCCTGAACCTCCCCTGGCGTAACTTGAGGCCATTTCCTCTCGTCCTGTCGCCTGTGACTTGAGAAAAGAGACCGACCCCCATCTCTCTACACCCTCCTTTCAGGTAGTTGTAGAGAGCAATAAGGTCTCCCCTCAGCCTCCTCTTCTCCAGGCTGAATAACCCCAGTTCCCTCAGCCACATGTCCCTCTCCTCCAGTTTTCCCCTAATGCGATGCTTCTGCGATCACCTATGCCAAATTATTTCTCATCTGTCATTGCCTCTCATACAGGGAAATAAAATAAAAAAAAAAAGGGTCTGGATCACTGATTTTTCATAAAGGGAATCCCAGTCTGCACGTTTCAGACAGCAGTTTTGACTTCCACTGAATGACTCTTTTTCCCCAAAGCCATCACCCTTCCCAGGGGACCAGGAGGTGGCAGGGAGGGGACAGAGGAGCCTGGAGGACGCGGCACCACCGGGCACAGCGTGTGACTCCCGTCTTCCCTCACGCCGATGCTCTCAGCCTCAAACAAGGGAGGGCTCACCCTCCGCAGCTGTCTTTTTGGGTCTGTTCCAGTCAGAAACCACTCACAGCGTGAATGAGAAACTGCCCACCAGAGTCTATCAGCATCTCGCTGTCAAACCCACAATGAAATGTGTGAAAACCTGCCACAGCTTGCATGAGCCCCAGTGAATTTCTGTGGAAAATTCATGTATTTCTAGAGACCTCTAACACAGGCACAACACCGTGGACGCTAAACACTTTTTTCACAGGAAGGAATTACGTATTCCAGTTGCTAATCTGAAATAAAAAAAATGCTTTATATCGGCTAACAGCCATTTTTCTTCTGAAAACCGAAAGACATTTTGTCTTCCAGCAAATAGCTGCTGTTCTGCCATTAAAGTGTGCATTATTAAGCTCTACGGTGCTCACCTATTTACAGCAAGGAAAGCAATTATCTGTCCATAAAGCAGCTTTCAGTGCTGAAATGAAGCTGTGAAACCCTGTGGCAGAAGGAAAGGGTCAGCGCACACAGGTCCCCCCCCTTCCAAAACCCGAATATTCTCACTCCCAGTGTGCTTGGGCAGCACAAAGTGAGGCATGAGCCCTTACCTGAAATGAAGTCGGGGGGTTTATATTAACACGAGCTTGGTTCCAGTGCTGTCCCTTATTTCCACTTGAAGACCACAAGGGGTTCTCTATCGCCGTCTGCCCTTTCAACCGCAGGTAAACGTTCAAGCTTCCTGGAAGAGAGGTGAAGGACTGGAATTGGTCCGGCGCTCTGACGGGGCAGAGATGCTGGGTTGGGTTCAGCATCACCCCCCTGCCCATTTTGTATGGGCCTCTGCTGGGTCTGGGTGGATGTGGAGAGCTTCTTGTTGTAAATCCAAAAACTTTTAAGCTTGGGAAGACTGTGAACTGGTGATGTGAACTCACAGCAGAGGCAAACTGAGGCCGTGAAGGCACCCACTGCTCCCTGCAGCTCAGGAAGGACACCAGGCTTCCCAGGGTGAGATGGGCAAACCCCAGTTTTCTGTGCTTTAGAGCAAACGAGTCATTTATACAGAATCACAGAATCGTAGTGGTTGGAAGGGACCTCAGAGATCATCGAGTCCAACCACCAAAAAAAAAAAAAAAAAAAAAAAACAAACCACCAACAAAAAACAAAAACCGAACCATGTCTACACGTTTCTTAAATACCTCCAGGGATGGTGACTATACCCTCCTAACTCCAGGATAAATAAGCAACTTGGTTGCCTTATGCTCTCGCTTCTACTGTCCAACTTCTAACGGAGTGTCACAGAGCCTGGCAAATCTATCTCAGAGATGGATGTGATGGCCTTACTGCCACTAAGGAGTGTCTTTGAAGGGCAACACAATCCTCTTAGTCCAAATAACCTTGGAAAAGTTGTTCCTCACTGTGGAGAAAAACCCCACAGCCCTGGGTCTTCCCCCACCACCAACCATTAAGTTACTGGTTCCAGCACAGATATTACAAAATAGATCATCTGCATTTGGCAGCCCTTCTCTCCCAATAACCTCAGATTAATGCCTCAGACCACGAACAGAAGCCAGACTTTCTTGGTGCACCAAGAGCAGGGTTCCTCCTTGCTCACCGCTGTTATTCACAGAGGTGCGGGGCAGTGGTGCCTCTGTGTACTATATAAATCACTGCATTTTCCATCCTTGGAGAAAGTTCAGATGGTCAAGCTCACGCAAGACCCCCCTTTTTTTTAAGGGGCCTGGAAAGGCAGCTGGGAAGCTCATACAAATTATGTTGGCAATGAAACCTCCCAGATCTGAGGCAGCTGCACAGTGACTCAGCTCCTGCTCGTAAAAAGTTCTGATTTCCTGCAATAGCGAAACTCAGCGCCTTGAAAAAAAAAAAAAAACACGAGGCTGAACGTGTAATGGAGCAGCAAATATTCTCCTCACAGCTCTTTGGCCAGAGTGCCCAGAATGAGCCCATACATCTTCTCTGAAGGAGGCGGGGGCAGCGATGCTCGCCGGAGCGCCCGGGTGGCCCCCTGTCTCCCACCCCCTTCCCGTGGCAGTTTTCCCAAAGCAGGGGAGGGTGAGGAAGCAGCACAAAGGAAACACAACTTCTCACAAGGATAGTCTGTCCCTGCCTGCACACACGCTGCTGGGTAAAACAAAAAAAGACCTGGAAGAGAAAGGGCTTGCAAGAAGGGCGACAAAGATGATGAGGGGCCTGGAGCATCTCTCCTACAAGGAAAGGCTGAGGGACTTGGGTCTTTTTAGTCTGGAGAAGAGAAGACGGAGTGGGGATCTGCTCAATGCCTGTAAATCCCCAAAGGGAGGGTGCAAAGAGGATGGGGCCAGTCTTTTTTTCAGTGGTGCCCAGGGACAGGACAGGAGGTAACGGGCACGAACTTGAACATAGGAAGTTCCATCTAAACTTGAACATCTGAACTTCACTTTGAGGGTGGCAGAGCCCTGGAAGAGGCTGCCCAGAGAGGTGGTGGTGTCTCCTTCTCTAGAGACATTCAAACCCACCTGGACACGTTCCTGCTCTGGGTGGACTTGTTCTGGCAGGGGGTTGGACTGGGTGACACCCAGAGGTCCCTTCCAACCCCATATTGTTCTGTGATTCTGTGGGAAGGGGAATGCTCAGGAGGGTTCCCTGGACCAGTAATATGTCTCTGCTCCCAGTAAGTGGCTGCTCAGCCCCAGCCCTCTCCTACCAACAGGAACAGCTCTTGGGCAAGGTTTATTTTATTCAGCTTCAACAGTTCTCCTTTTCTTCCCATCTGATTCCCTCCAAGACTTTTATCAACAACTCCACTGGGTCTGTGGCCCGAAAAAAGGCAGGGGTGGAGACAAGACTACCTAAAGTTATAAAACAGTTATATATAATGTTATTTTTCTAAAAGACAAAAAGCAATGCCCATATCAAGCAAGGGATGAGTTGCTGGGCGATTGTTTCACCTGTCTGTGCAGGCTGATACAGCCCATGCTGCAGAGCTGTTAGGAATAGCTGAATAATTTAGGTGTCAAAAGTACGTAATTCCAACACTGCTGAGGCTACAGAGATTTAAGATTGTTCACAGCACACTCAGCCTCTCTGCATCACATAATTTCTTCAAATTAATAGCAGAATGATAGCAGTCTTATTTAAAACACGAAATAGCCATTATTGTACCAGATTTGCCCAGCATGTTAGTTAGTGTGGACGTACCTGCCTGACCCTCATTGCTAAATATGCCCCAAACTTCACTAAAAACTTCACTAGTGACACCTGCAACAGATAGTTTTTCCTTGAAATTCTGCCAGAAAGGCTTTGGAAAAGTTCCATGGCTTTTGCCAGGGTGATGCTGGGGAGGGAGGATGAGTTGGCCACAGGGTTCGCACCGAGGTGTGTCCAGCAAGAATTCACCTACAGATTTACAACTCTGCCAAGCTCCAGACAAATGGGTAATGAAGTGACTGCTGTGAATTAAGGGATAAAGTTTACTTTCCGACAGCCTCCTGCCAAGAGAGGGCAGGGTGTTCCAGAGATGTCACCAGCGCCAACATGGGGGTGACACTTTGAGCGCTCATCACCGTGCGAACACAAACAGCTTCCGCAGTGCGCTCTGACAGCATCTTCTGCTTCCACTTCTTGTTTTCTGATGGCTCTCCAGTGATAAGAAAAATTATTGTTCCTGGAGCATCAATTAGAAATGCCCCATTTTGGGGTGCAGGCAGAAAAATTGGAAATATAGACTATTTTAGAAGATGGTGACAGCTATAACAGAATTACAGCCTCGCTCTGTCTCAACATAGAGACACAATAAGGACAGTGACTCTTTATTTTCTTGTTCCCCAACAATGGCTTATTGTTTGCTGCAAATCAAGTAACGGGAAGCTCTTTTTCTCTTATGTTTTAGGGATAATCTACCTTCCCCTTTGGAAGGATGTGCACTCTCCCTGGCAGGCAGTGCTCTCAGAGCGAGCTTGGTGTGATCTGTCAGGAATTACAACCTGACCTGTAAGAGCCATCTATTTCAGGTAAAGAAATACCTTATTTCTCCGAATCTCAGTGCCAAGGCACGGGATGTAGGTCGCTCTTTACCTCCTCAGAGCGTAAACTCTAATCTCAGATCTGCACTCTGCAAGGACCCCCGAGTACCTCTCCTTATCGCTACAGACATCCCCTGCCTCTTCTCCAGAGACACCAGAGATCTGAACAGCTGGATAAACTGGTTGGCTGTTTGTTTTCAATATAGTGCAGCTCCCGTTTCTCAAGCTGATGTCACCAGGGTCGCTCATTTTTAAGAATGGAGGCTGCAGTGTCTTTTCCCCTCAGCCTCCAAGACCAGTCCACACCAGCAACAGAGCATCACTCCAGGAGGATCTTCTGGTTTTTTTTTAGGGATCCTTCAGAACCTTGTCAGAAATGCAGAAATGTTTTTATGAGCAAAGAAACTGTTTGGGAAACAGAGTACTTTGCCCCTGAAACATGGGAATACTAACCCTAATGCTCCTTGGAAATCTTCTGGATGCAGATAATGAGGGAGAATAAAGCAACCCAGTGGATCTGCTGACTTGCAGCACCAAAGCCTGCTGAACAATGCTACAGCACTTTGGCTGAAAAATCAAAGTTTAATGGCCATGTAGCTTCCGAAGACATTGTCCAAAGGAGGAACAGGCTGGATATTATTTAAGCCAAATTACCCTGCAAGACAATTCAAATTTTTGGCGAAGCCAGGCCAAGGATCAGCAGCTCAAGGTTATTCAAAAGAAAGAGCTTTCAGCACAGAGATCATATTGAAGTCTCAATTAGCAGCTCCGGTCCTGCTTTTGTGAGGAAATCAGTGAGCTGGCAGCACATATCACAGCCAAGAGCTGCCCCAACTGCCAGTGCTCGTTCCCAGGTGGGGATAAGAAGCACCTTCTACAGCTGTGAAGGGTCGCGGTGCTCATTCCCAGGTGGGGTAAGAAGCACCTTCTACAGCTGTGAAGGGTCAAGACTTCCAACAGCTCGTCAAAAACCAGTCAATCTGTTTTAACAATAAGGTTTAGAATTATCCACAGAGGAATAATCATTAAGAAAATGGAACTCTTCTGCAAAATGTATTTCTCACAGAATCACATCATCTTCATAGCCCTTAACTGGACCCTCACCAGTAAGCCCGTGTCTCTCTTGTCCTGGGGAGCTCAGCACTGGACCCAGCACCCCAGATGTGTCTCTCCAGTGCTGAGCAGAGGAGCAGGACCTGCTGGTCATGGTCTTCCTGATGTCACCCAGGAGGCTGGTGGCCACCTGTACCACAAAGGTGTATCATGCAAAACACTGTGTCATGGTAAGTTTTGATTTGCCCGGGCAAATCACGCCTTTCCTAACCCAAAGGAATTTCTAAGACCACAAATCACAATAATCATATTGATGAGATAACTACTTGAATGAGTTTTTAAAAAACTCATTCAAGTATTTACCTCATCAATATGACTATTCATATAATAATCATGTGCTTAAATCATTGAAGTCTTAGAATATCATCACTCTTTAGGTTTTTCTTTCTCTTTATTATCCTCATGTGAACAATTTCAGTGACACAGTTCACATCTGGGGAATCAAATGGTACATATATTTGCTGATTTCATAATTTGTTTCCTGCATGCACGCTTCAATCTCATGTGTTTCATAACATCTTGTCATTATGAGGAATTCAAATGTTGAATTTAGTAGATGTGTATAAGCGTGCATTCAAACACAGGGCTGACGCTATTAATTTACTGTTTTTCTGCCAGTCTGTTCTTTAAAGGCAGAATAATAAGTAATTTTGTACAAAACTGCTCAAAAGCAAATAATTTTGGACTTTAGCTAAAACGATGGCAGCTATATTTTTTTAACATTAAAGACGAAAAGTGGTACTGAGCAGTTTTGGTTTTTGACAACTAGGTGTCCACATTGCCATGAACAAATCCTGTGTTTCCATGGTCACTAACCATCGCTGCCACCACCTTCACCTGCGAGTCTGCTCCTTCATTGGCTGCCATCACACATGGCAATTCCAAAAGTTCCACATAAATAAGACAGGGAGATCTCAACAAAAAATCCAAGGACACAGATAATTGCTGAAAAGGTAGCCCAGAGAAAAAAATAAAATAAATCAAAATTGCACCTTTTGCAGCCTCGTGGTTGGTTGTCTTATACTTTATCACAACCCTACGGTAACCAATTGCAGCCTCGTGGTTGTTTGTCTTATACTTTATCACAACCCTACGGTATTCCAGAAAAACTCTTTGACCCTTTCTGTTTGTAACTTTGCTCTTCACTGACAAATATCAGAACTAGCCTTACAGGGAGGTTTGTGGTTTTTTTTCACTAAGCATGGCATGGCTCAGTTGCTTCCCTCTGATAAACACCAAGCTCCTGATGGAACGTGGAGCCTGGAGAACCTGGGGCTGCATTCCTGCCCTGAGACAACTGAGGAAACCACGTGAACTTGTCTGCTCTCTTTAAAATCTGAACTCAGCCTGGATTAGGCGAAGGTTTCCCCAAGCAACCACCAGAATGCACCGTGAGGGTGTGCTTGCCCTTGAAATATATATATAAATACATCATCACGTCAGGTCAGCTTGGCATTGGGAAGCCTCCTGACACACTGGTGAGCACCGAGCACCCCACAGGGATTTACAGGATTTCCAAAAATGAGCTGTCCATTGTTAATACTTCGATATTTTCCCACACCTTATTTTTTTCATGCTACTTAAAGAAATTAAACGTGTGTGTTGAAAGAGTGATGACTAAAGATAGACTTGTAGGTACACCTTGAAAATACATGCTCTCACAGCCCGGGAGCCAATTGTTCATGACTTTTACAAAGGAACCGTGTGCTGGTGCATTGCACCCAGGCTGTACCGCTCCAGCCGCCGGCACGTCCTGAACCCAGGGAGAAGCAGCTCAAAGCTCTGTGTCACCATCAGGCAAAAGTCCTTGCAAATGTCACCTTTTCTATTTCCACCCTCTAAAGCTCCCAAGCTCAAAACCTCACGTGTGCATGAAACATCAGGCAAAGTCCTTGCAAATGTCACCTTTTCTATTTCCACCCTCTCAAGGTCCCAAGCTCAAACCCTCACATGAGCATGAAACACCTCCCATCCACAAGAGGGGCTCCTGCTAGCGTGCTGATTAGTGGAAAACACACTTTTACAGCAGTTAGGACGCTGTCAGGCACCCCTCTTGCCAGCTGTGGTGGCAAACTGTCCCTTGTGGGTGTTGGCAGTTCTCATGTGCTTTTGTTTCACGCAAGTGGACATATCTCCTGCTATTTCTCCCAAAGTGAAAAGACAAGGTCATTGGCTTCCTCTCACCTATGTGCTGTCCATACATGTGATAGTAGAAGCTGAAACAATAGGCTGTGTTCGTAGCTCCGTAGGGATTTTTTGGAGCGACGCTGAAAACAGGGCTAACGAGTCGGGCCTTCTCTCCTTCCAGCCTGGGGCGCGAGGTCTCGATGTACATGTAGAACCCTAGGGGGAAGGAAGGCCAGGTGGAAATCACCAGGTTGCAATCCTCAAAATCCAACACATTTACACACAGGAAGGCACCAGGGCTATCAAGCATCTTGATTAAACAGGTACAAACAGGAAGACACCAGGACTATCAAGCATCTTGATTCATTTTTCACACACATCTGGCATCACCATGGTTTCTGGGACATATTTCTCCTGCATTAAGCCCATGTGTTTTCCACAACTGCTTCAAAGACATGTTTTCTGCCCAGAGTAAAATCAGGGCTAACAGGTCAGTACTGTAAACAACTTGAAATCAATATAACATCATATATGAGCAAGAAAAAAACCTTTATGATGGGGTTCAGGCATCAATCTCAAGGTTGCAATTTGTTCCTATAAGCAGTGAGCGAGGAGAACTTTTAAAATAAAGGGAAAATATCTTGATGGAAACCTTTCAAGGAACATTTTCAACCGGCCATGTCAATCACATGGTTGAAAGCTCATTTTCACAAAAGAAGACGATATTAATTTATTCTGATCCCGGACTGTGCCAACAACAGAGATAGTATTTACTTAATCCAACTAAGCAAATACAATGCAGTACGATTTTTTTTTTTTCCCCTTCGGTAGTGCAAGCAGGGGGCACACAATAAAATAGCATGAGTTACTGCAGTGGTTGATAAATTCAGCACAACATGTCTGACTTTTCAAATGCAAATACACTCTGCAGCGGAGGTGGCACGCTTCTGTTAAGCGGGGCAGCAGATTGAGAATTACACATTTTAGCAACACCCAAAGTGAAAACGGGGCACAAGAATTTCTCCTTGTGACAGTCTGAAAGAGTCCAAGTTAGAATTTAAATGGCATAAAACCAGAAGAATATTTCAAGATGTGCCAGAAGATTTCCCCACCAGACTGCAACGTGAAAGCAATCGCTTTGAGAATGGCACACCAGAAACAATACAAGATGGTTAATGGCACCATCAGCGGGTTGTGCTTAGGGACAAGCAACAAGCCTCAGAGCCCACAATTTCTTTTAGAAGTCCTTGAATTATGCTTATTCCTGGTTTGACCATGAAAAATGATGTAGGTGGCTGAATTGGCTGTCCTGGAGAGGTCCCTCACCCCAAGGGAACCATGGAGCTCCCAGTGCTGGTGAGTGGTGACACCACTGGAGCTTACCTTCCTTGGAGCCAGTCCGATCCGCGTTGGGCCCCGTGTTGGGGGTGTATTTTGTGTCTCTGGTGGCAGTGCTTTGCTTTGTCCAGTCAAAATTGTCCGTGTCATCTTGGGTGAAAAGGCAAATGTTACCGTCCTCAAACCCACAGTGGAACTCTCCTGCCAATACAGCAAACGAGCAGAAATTTAGGGGCTGAAACTATTAATCCAATGATCGTTTGTCAAAGTACAAACATATTGTGTGATGATGCTTGGTAACAGCACTGGAACATAGACATACATTTATTTTACACCAGTTTCTAGTGTTTAGTGTATGTTTTCTTTTGCAGTAACATCAACCTGCATTGGTGTTACTTGAAATTATATTCAAATCTTATCCTATAGCTCCTCCTCACACACTCCCATGCACACTATTGCCCTTAGAGACATTGTCTCCCCTTACCCAACTAGCATTTCTAAAAAGCTGAGAAGAACAGGCAGCATGTCTGTAACCCGTGGACTACAGGGAAAAAACAAGTGGTTTAGGGATAAGAACATGAGGGAAAAGAGGATAGCAACTTTTCAGAATGGAAACATGATCTCCAAGTGACATCTCCTAAACTAGTCTTGGCTTTCAATAGGGATGGGAAAGGAAGTAATGGCTAAAATGAGAGCAAAAAAGCTTTAGGGTGGACATGAAGAAAATCTCTAAAAATCAGGACAGTGAAGCACATGAATGAATTGCTCATGAAGAGCACTGAGTTCCCATCACTGGATTATAATAACCAATTAGACAAATACCTGGGAGGAAGGTTTAGGTCTATCTGAACCAGGCAGGACAGGTGACTGTATCAGGTCCTGAAGACATCTCCTAGACTTTCACTAAGATTTCTGTTATGTACTTGAGATCAAGTGGTAAAACCTTGGGTCTAAGGAACAAAACCACGAAGAAGCATCACTGGGATCCTCTCCTTTGCCAAACAGAGGTGCATGAGACACACCAGCCCAGTGATCTGACCTGCCAGGTGGTGGTGGGATGAGAAAGTCCTTCTGTCAGATGTTAAGGAACCAATATAAATCAAAACGTCAAGGATCAGTTTGCACCTCAGAACGGAATAAGGCCCCAGGTAGTAAAATGTGCAAAAGCTTAATTTTATGCGCGTGAACAGTTCCCGCTGACTTTACTCTTCCAGCAAAGTCAATTGATTTATCTGAGAAAACAAGCAAATCTCTCTTCTCTAGGGAGAAGGCAGCTGTCTGCACACTGTGTCAGCCACAGCCTTCTTCATAGGGGTGCAATTTATATTCATTGTTATGAGGAACTCTAACACCAGGCGCCATGGGATTATTCATCTGTGTTAAATTGAGAAGGTATATAAATGTTTGCAGGTTTGGGGTTTTGGTGAACTATAAATCCACTTAAGCCACTGGAGCTTCAGTGTAAATCAGTGAAGACAGAGGGACCTGGGGCTTAGCTTGGATATGTACCGCTAAGCAAGGATGCTGGTCTGAAGCTTATTTAAAATCAGGTAACACTGCAGACTGAAAAAGCAGGCTTGAAAAATTCATTCCAAACCACAAGGTGCATCCCAAGTCTTCCTCCTTCTGCTCCTGCCCGTCCAAAGAGCAACACAAACTGTATCCCCTCCACAACAGTCAACATAAACCCTCTGTTTCTCATAAGCCCTGAGTTATAAAACCAGGTTATCACCAAAATGCAGTCCATAGAAACTTCCTTGGCTTTTAGCACCTCAAGGAGATCGACTTGGTTTCTCAATAAATCCATCGGCTATATTAGATCCTCCAAGAGAATTAATTTCCTAAATCCCAGTTCCTTAACTAGCAAACATGACTAATAACCATCGGCATGAAGGGGGGGCCAATTTCAGGACCTTGCACCTCGGCTTGGAGATGGAAGCAAGGTCTTCTGAACTTTGAATATTAAAGAAGTGGCAATATAGAAAGTCATTCAGTGGAGAAGCACCATCGTGAGCTTTGCAGAGGACTACAAGTAGAGGCCTGATTGTGGTTCTTCCCGAGAGATGAGCAAATCAAAGAACGAGGCCACGAGGGATACACCACGCACAGATTACACCCAAAATCCTTTGACAGAGAAACACGTCAATAGATGCTGATAGACACCTCCATCCTTATCCCGAAGAGCAGGAAGATAATGCAAAGACCCTGACAAAGCTCTTGAAAGACACGAGGACTGGAATGAAGCACTCTGAACAAAACCCCAGCTGTGCCTCTCATCTCCAAGAATTACCTTTTATACGACTTGAGCTCCCAATTTGCTCGGTTTACACTATATTCTCTGTGTTTGACTTCCACCTCCACTCATGCATGCCCTTCCTATAGCAAAAACGGTGCTGCTTCTACCCGGTCTGATAAAATTAAAGGGCAAAACAGTAGCTAAAGGAGAAAAGTTCTGAGTACCAGATCCTGTCCTGCAGCAAAGTGAATTAACACAAAGCATTTTCAGCCATTCAGCAGTTTCTGACACGGCACCTCAGTACCATAAGAGCTGCATTTGCATGTCGCACCATGCCCTCAGAGCTTCATTAAGAAATTCCACATCAGCAGAACAAAAGATTTTTCTTAAAGTTAAAAAAAAAGAAATATATATATATTTTCAGGCCAGATGAAAAAAAAAAAAGTAAGTAAAAGTTGGCCATTTATTTAATAGGAAAACACTGGTTTCATGTGGGACTCTGCCATTTGGAATACATTGGGAAAGGTTAGTGCTAAATATTCTTGACGCTAAAGGCTCCTTAAAAAATGGCAGAAGAATAAAAATGGGAAATAGTTCGCCTGTGTTAGCTGAGTATTTTTCTTATGCAAGAAGTAGGACCATTTAAATAGGTCTAGATGGTCCTGATGTGTTCATTGATGGGACACACCGAGTGCAGGTGGAACAGCCGGCCCTTCCCCAAGCACCCATGGGTGCTCCAGCTCATGACACCCCTCAGACCCCTACGGTTTGCTGAAAGCACAGACAGTGGTGCCAATTGCAGTGGTCAATTTTTGTCAAAGCACATGCCAGATCTGGAAGTGGATTCAGGTTATTAATAATTTCATTGCCAATTAGGGCAAAATCTGAAACTGTTCTCAAGGTGAAGCATTCCTCATTTTAATATGAATTATTGTCACCTATTTCCATAAAATTCAAGTTGAATATGACTCTCTAACATCTAACCTCTTCCATTATTCAGGTGTAACATCTAGTTCCACTAATTGATCTGAAATACTTATGGTTTAAATTAAATTATATTATCCGTTACAAAATAAAACGTAGATCTGAGGCTCCATCTCAGTGGTTCAGTCATTCAGTCCTACTTGCACTGCAGATATCGTATAAAAAGGAAGGACAATGGGATTATTCCAGTTATGAAGCAGGAAGAAGAATGTGACTTTAGGTTCCGATACAGGTGCCTTGTCCTGGCTGAATCACAGAATCACAGAATCTTCTAAATTCCAGTTATGAAGCAGGAAGAAGAATGTGACTTTAGGTTCCAATACAGATGCCTTGTCCTGGCTAAATCACAGAATCTTCTAGGTTGGGAGGGACCTTAAAGATCATCTTGTCCAACCCTCAACCTGACTGACAAAAACAGACACCCACACAATGAATACAGCTCTTGCTCTTTGTTCACAATGGTGCAAATGAAAACCCATGCAGGTGCGACCTCCACTGCACCACGACCCTACGAGAGCCGTTGCTTTTAATTGAGCTATAGACACATGCTGAAAATTAGACAGTTTTGGAACTGAAAATCACGTGGAACCACAGTCTGAAGCACTTGGGATGGCAATGCATTTTTTCCTTAACATCACAGACTATACATTTAATATATTAATTAGCAAGGGTCTCGTCTACTGCTCGTTTAAGTCAATGGGAGTGGGTCCTTCAGCTCCTGTGAGCTTTGAATTAAACCCTGATTAATTGTTAATGCATTGTGCAAGATCTTCCACAAATAAGTGTAAAATCCACAGAAAGGCTTGGCCATGGTGTGTGAGAGATAGAGAGAGGCTGCCCCCACAGCCCGGGGCTGCTTTTCTGCCCGATTAGGGCTGCGCTACGGCAGTAATAACGGCAGAGAGAACCCCAGCCCCTTTGGTTTTTTGCATATTCTGTGAAAAGCAGGAGTAATGGCAGAATATGTTTCCACAGCAAAACATTCATGTGCCTTGCTGTGGAAGGAAACCATGGAGTAGATGTGGAAGCTGTTCAGAATAGGGTGGTTTTACTGGGACATCATAAATCTCCAGCCCAGTCTCCTGCCTGCGAAGGGATTTGGTGCCTGTGGAAAAGTGTCAGAACAGCCCATAAGAGGAGTCCTTTCTCCCCTGAAACCTCCCGGTGCCCACGCACCGGTGCATTAGCAAATACATGTAGAGTTTGCATTTTCAGTCCTGCCCCTGGAGCTCTCCCCTGTGAGTTTATCTGGACGCTTTCTCACCCCAGTTACAGTTTTGGTCTCCACATGTCCCTGTGCAAATGTGGTCCGTGATTCCTGCATGCACCGCGTGGAAAAAAGAGTCTTCTTTTGGTTTTTAAGCTGCAGATGAGCATCTGATAATGCCAGGAAGTATCAAAATACTCAAGAACTGTGAATGTCATTTTTATGCAAGGATAAAAGGATTTGGAATATTTCATAAACTGACTTTTCCTTCAAGATTTTTACCACACTGAGGCGCAGGCACGGTTCCTACACAGCACTTGAACTTTCAGCTATTTATTTTATCAGTATTTAGCTGCTCTCGTGACTGACCCACAGCCTCACCCACGCACACTGAGCTGCAGCTCCCACAAATGCATGTTATTTCAGAACATGAGCATTTTCTTTTAGATGAACTGTTTGGGCAGTGGGAAAGGAAGATGAGCTGGGGCTATAATTTTTCCTTTCTCCATCTTCTCTTGCTTTAGCGCCTTGGCAGAACAAGAGGAACCTTTATCCACCAGCCCATCTCACACGCAAAATTAAGGTGGTCCCTGCAATCCATGGGCTGCAACTGGAAGTGAAATATTTATCATTTACTTTGGGGGACAATGGTGCAAAGGGACAATTGGTGCAAGGACAATTCTTCATGCAGATAAAAGCTAAAAAGATGCAGAAATACTTACGTAGATGTGGATTCACTGGAGCTGGAAGACAGAGCAGAAAATACAATTAGCACAAAGAAGAATTTCTAATTCATCAATATTCAGTTTATCCTAAATTTCCCTCCCCCTCAAGACATTGATCATGGCTCCTACACCAAAACAGCCAACAGAGATGGGAACTTCCTTTCTGAGCAAAGTTTGTGGCTCCCTGGCAATGCAAAGGCAATGAGTTCAGTGAGAAACAATAGCTTCTCCCATCCACGATGTGTACACTCCGTCACGAGCACCTGCAGCCTGAGGAACAAGGTGCTGTAATTAAGCATCAAACCTAGATTAGTGGCACAGATATTCTAAGGATGGGGATAGCTGCACAGCAAAACTCCGGGGTGATGCCTTTGTACAGAAATCCAACAAGAACTACAGAAAGGATGTATTCATCAAAAGCAGACGTTCTGCACTGGACCTTGCTCATCGCTTAAAATTTCCTTTTAGCATTGTTCAAGAATACTTAACGTAATGAATTACCCTTCTTCTCAATGAATAATACTATTCTTCAATTAAAGATGTCTGAGTACCTATGAGTCTTAAGAAAAATACAGCACTTACATTCTTAGAAATGCCCGTTTTCCTTTTCAATAGCAGTAAATATAAGCCCAGCAAGTTTGTGAGGAGAGGTTTGAGCTCATTAGACCACGAGACACAACCATGAAAACTCGAGAGTCTTCTGGGACATAAACCCTCTTCTAGGGAGGACATACTTTAAAGAAATTTAAGAAGTCAACAAAGTAAGGTAAGGTGTGCTGTCCTGAAAAGCTTCCAGCTGGAGGAGCCCCATTCAGTGACCAGGACAGGGACCCACCAGTATCCCACCCCTGTACATCCCACCTCTGCCCGCTCCCCACCCCGTGGCAGGAGCAGCCCATGCTGACCCTTCACACTGGGAGGCATCAAAAAGAAATCTGCCAGCATTGCAGAGAACCTTGAGATAACTTTGCTAAAAAAAAATATTACTTCTGTCTGTTCTTTTATGGGTCTGTGCAATGCCCCTGCATGACACGGCAGGACTATTGGGAACTGGGAAACTTTGGGAAAACAGATAAAACTGGCACTCTTGGCAAAATAAAAACCTCTACATCCATAATTCTTTAGTATTGAAGTTAATACCTCAATAGGATGAAACAGAATCGAAGTCAAACCTCAACAGTGCCCATATTAACCATGGGGACGTACCCAGGTTGAGGTCCAGAGTCACCTCTACGATGCTAAACTCAGGAAACAGGGTTCGGATGAGAAATTGGTCTGCAGTTCTGTGCTGGTCTGTGTTTGCAGAAGGGTAAATTTGAGGAATGTATGACTTAGGAAACAGGACTCTTATGCATGTGAGAAACAGAAGGATGGCAAGGTCAGAGTTGGAATTGCATGTTATTAACAGAAAATCTGAACTAAAATTTTATCTCCAAATAATGGACACATCTGGTGAGGCCAGACTTCAGAACGAGTGTCGGTCCACGTTTTCTTGCTGCCCTTCCCATGCCATGTTTCCAGGCATGAACTCCTGGTTTGTGACCCCTACGTAGCTCTGGATTCACTCTGAAGTTTTCAAAACAGCTCTAAATTAGCAACTCTGCCATTTCATCACCAAACCAAATGAACAGTGACTTGCCCCAGTGCAATCCTCTTAAGAAACTTAGTGATTATGTTAGATAACCTCATAGCTGTTACCAACAAATTACCTTTCATTCTCCAAGAAACATTCATTTTGTGAAAATCTTGAGTGACTGAACTTGGAATTAGCTGAAATTGCTGAGAACTACATTTACTGATGCTTGATTTGTAACTAAACGTATGTGCTTTTATGGAAACTATCATCAGTGTGTAACCTTGAGTCATCCTATTCAGATTGTTCACCGCAGAGCAAAAAAAAAAAAAAGGCTTCTTGCCAAACTTCAGTTCACACTGACTGACAAAAGCAGAAAAACAAATTAAAGCAGTTAGGCTGAACTTATCTAACATCATAAAGTAAGAAAAAAACCCGCCACAACCAAACAAAAACCCCAAAAGCCCATTTTTCAAAGCAATACAGCACGTTGCTATAAGACAACGTGTGATAGCTCTAACTCTTACTGCGGGAAGGGAAGGATGCTGCCTGCACGACACACAGGTGGCAAGTTAAATTAGCCATAAAGGGAAATTAATGGATGACTGAGGGAGTAAAATTCCCAAGGCTGACTTTGAAATGTCTGGGAAAAAATCCGTGCACCTCAGAGGGTTATGGTTGCTCTGCTCATCCGACCCTGGCTCCTGCCGGGGAGGAAGGTTCTGCCAGCAGATAATCTCAGGAGGAGAACAAAGCGTCACGAAAACGTTTGAGCTTGGTTAGAGCCAAGACGGATGATCCCTTAATCTTCCCGCCTTTCCTCTGGCGGGCAGAGAATAAAACCTGCTGGAATTTCAGTTTGTTGGATGATTTTACTTCTTGGTGAGCTTCTAAGCGGGCTGGATGGTTTTTGCGCTTCTACTGGGGGCAACTGCATTTATACAAGTTAAACTTCCCACAGATCCTTCCCAATACACTTGTTCAGCTCCCAGGTGAGGTGGCCTTCAGGGACACTATGTCCCTCCTCTAAAAAAAACAGAGCTGCAAACCAAGCTTTCTTAACTGTGAAACCCATAAAGGCAGAGGTCAGTAGATGTTGAGCTCCTGTGTTTTTTACCACCAGAAGCTGGTCGCCTGTGGGAATTACAACCACCACCGAAAAGCTTTCATCAAGATCAGAAGTCCATAATGCCTCCAGGCACTTGGTTTGCAGAGGAGAAGCAACATTCAGTGTAAATATTGGTACTCTACAAGGACAAGGCTTTCCTCCTCCCATAACAGCAAATTGCCCTAACTTACTATTTATACCACTGTGGAATACTGGAAATGGAAAAATAAGTTTGTGTGAGCTTAGAAATCCTACCATTTATGCCCTATTTGGTGCCAATTTTATTTTTCTGGGTCCCACCAACATAATAATAAAAATAGCAAAAATAATAGCAATAATAACGACCATAATTATATACTCTTCTTTACAGATTCTGGGGACTGTCTAAGCCTCACATGAAAATATGGACTACAAAGCCCGAGGCCACCATCGTCCACCTGCCACTGTCACATGGGGCTGACTCTACATACCAATAGTAGTAAGATTGGGTTGCTGGCTTTTTCCATAGAAGGGAGCCAAACTGTTTCTTTAAACACTGGCTAAGTTTAAAATATTTAAGCATAAGTACATAATATTTAAACACAAAGGAATGAGTGCTGAAGCTTTAATTGGAGTAGCTGGAGAACTTTCCAGTCAGTTCATATCAAACAGGCTGACACAGATTTATGTAAAGTGACAGAGATTATATTTACACTGTTACTGCGAGACACGTCTGGTTTGTGTTAGACTACAAAACACTCATTAGTGCTATTAAAATTGCCCTGTTTGTATTTACGTGGCAGACTGTGCTCACGAGCAGAGTAACACATGTATCTACCAAAGAATCTGTCAAGTGATGTTTGGCTGCAATCACCAATGTCGCTCCTACTGTGATGATTGCTCTTTTCTCCCATCCTTTCAGCACGCAGAGGAGACAATAACTCAAGGCAGGCGAGGGGTTTCCCTAAGAAATGCTTCTGGCACAGGTAAGTTTTTGATTCATGGGACTGGATAGTGCAGAGTTTTTATTTTGTATTCATAACTCCTGCTTGGGATGGCAGGCTATTCCATAAAGAGCTCCTTACTGAGGTTTTCCTGCTTTAAGTCTCCTTATTTTGGACATTCAGATGGCTACCAGCAGGCTAGCACACTGGGAGTGGTTATTATTAGCAATTGCCACGTTAATCTCCAGTTGTGGGTCTTAATTTAAAGGGTGATGTGGTCTGCATCATGGGCACAGGAGTGTGGCCCAATAGCAATAACTGCACAGGTAGGATTAATGTGGCTTAACTTTAGCGGTCTCAGAGTTAGACACCTCATCTAAGAATGTCATTGGAGTGTCTCTGAAGTCACTGGAGAGAGATGGCCATGTCCAGAGGGTGATTCCTCCCCTGGGATAAATCTGGAGAAACCTTCTCCTCTCCTAGTAAGGCAAGAAATGCAGCCAATATGCTAAAAATGTCATTAGCCTGCATAAAGTTTTTAAAAAAATAAAGCAAAACATGTTTGCAATAGGAATCCTCACCAGCAACACAAATACATCACTGCATTTCAGACCTAAGAAAAAAGTTTTTTTACTCTAAGGGTGATCGAGCACCAAGTTGCCCAGAGAGGTTGTGAAGTCTCCATCCTTGGAGATATTCAAGACCTGAAAGGACATGGTCCTGGGTCCTGGTCCTCTGAAAAGAGTATTTCTAAAGTGGTGGGATGAGAAAGACGGGTTGACACTGCTAGAGGCCAGTGTGCTCCTGGAGTCCTGATCAAAACCGAAGACGCACACACACAAAACCCCACTGAAAATAGGAAAATTCAAATATTTTCCTGCTTGCCTGAGGTCTCACAATTAAAAAAAAAAAAAAAAAGTAATGGGAGAAAAATGTAAAAAATTATCTTAGTTCTCCTTTTAAGAAACATTCGCGTGATGTCTTCTATTTTCTGGGTACTGTTTATAATTATTTCTTGCATTGATGCAGGCCTGCTGCTGTGCATCCCGCCAGCCCTTTAACTGCTTTTTGAAGATTCCAGCATTTTAGATTATAAGTATTGGATTTGCACTATAATAGTGTATGAGATACCATTATTTTACAGTTGAGGCTATAACATCCTTAAAATTAGCCTGGTAATAGTTTGCTGACACTATAGCCATTGGATGAATGCTGGGATAAAAATGCGCATTTTAAGCATACAAAAAAAGCCTCGGTGGTTCTGGGATCCCTCTTCCGAGGGAAGTCACTTTGGGCTTATCTTATTGACGGGAGCATCTGGCTCATGATTTCCAAAGCCGTGAGTTTGTCGGCACCAGAGTCATCATCCCACGTCACGCTCCGAAAGCATCTCTCCATCTGGGGCACGAGGCAACGGCTTCCTCCCTCCTGGGTGGCTGATTTTTGCCTTGGCACCTCATCAGCACCTTTGAAATGGGATGTTGTTCACATCTGCGCTAACGGCAGATTTCAGCAGAAAAAAATTGCAGCAGACAAAATCCGCCTTTTTTTTTTTTTTTTTTTTTTGCTGCACGGGAATGTTCTTCCTGCCAGCCAGGGGCTAGAAATGTAAATCACATAACGTTTCATTAAAACCTCCAACTCAGCGTGGTTGTGAGCCAGAGCAGAGACCTCAATCAACCTCCCGAGACTTGCCAGGGTACAATTGCCACCAAAAAAAGAGCAGTAATGACTGAGTGACCCAAGTGGAGGTTTTTTCCTCCTTATAGGAGCACTGGTCAGTATTTAAGTCATGGAAGAAATTTTGAGGCACCAGCTGCGAGGATGCTAATATTTTTTTTTCAGATTTGTTCACCACTTTAAAATATCTGATAATGACTTTTGAAAGTAATTCTTGATGGGTAGGTTGCTTTTGAGCCTTCTGCTGCACATGGTTTCCTGCTTTGGGCTCTCCTAGGTATCTGCACAGCACAACTTCTTGTTGGATCCAGCTCCTGGAGCAACTGAACCTCCTTGGCTACCTCTAACTTGACCTGTGAGTCACCTGGCTTTTGTCCTGCAGGATTAGCAGGGTTCCTCCTGATGGGATCACAAAATGGTTTGGGTTGGAAGGGACGTTTAAAGGTCATCTGGTCCAACCCCACTACCATGAGCAGGGACATCTTCAACTAGACCAGGTTGCTCAGGGCCTGACTGTGAATGTTTCCAGGGATGGGGCATCTCCCACCTCTCTGGACAACCTGGGCCAGTGTTTCACCACCCTCAGTGTAAAAAATTTATTCTCTATATCTAGTCTGAACCCACCCTCTTTTAGTTTAAAGTCATTACCCCTCATCCTACCACAACAGGCCCTGCTAAAAAGTCTGTCCCCAGATGATAAACTCATACTTTCACGATTCCATCTTTACAAATCTCTCCCCCTGGCACACACATCCCTTTTTCAATCATAAAAGCTTTCTGCTCTGCACATCAGGTTCCCATCACAAACCGCACAACGACATCTTTACTAGAGCCGCCTTCTCTTGAAGGTACCTCTTGTCTATTCATTATAATTTATACAGAAGAAAAACAACCAAAAAAAAAGTAATTCAGTTATTCATTGAATAAATACCTCAAGAAAGGTATTTTTGAGGGATTTTTAAGAGGTCTAGGAACTAATTCCTGGCAGTGCTGTGGGACTGAGTGGAAGGATGTAAGAATACTGTAGTTTTCTTGTTAGATTAAGGTGGACAAATCTTTGTCACAGCATGACCTTTTAGAGGAAAATGTATAAATGCCCTTTTCCACTTGCACAATACTAGAAACGACAGATTTATTCTTTTTTAAAAATCATTCACATCCAAATAAAATCTTCTCAAAAGGTGCTCATTCTGGGGGGTATTTTGATACAAAACATCAATTTGGCACCTTCAGATTCCTACTTGTTTTGTAGATTTTTCTTCAAAACTCATTGCTCTGCCAAGTATTTAAAATAAGAACAAACTCCTGGAATGAGCTATTTCATGAAGCTAACATTAATCTGTTCTTTTTTTTTTTTTCCTTTATTTCACAAAAACTTAATGTATAATTTTGCATTTTGGCTGTTCAGTGATTCATTACTTATTTATTTTTCTTATCTTAATATATAATTTTGCATTTTGGCTATTCAGTGATTCATTACTTATTTATTTTTCTTATTGTGAAACTTCCCAGGGGTGGACACTTTTCTTCCTACCCAGAACCCTCCTTCGTGGAAGCCCACACTCGTTCCTCACAGCATTGATTCCAGGACTGGCAACCAGTTTCCCCAGTGCAACCCAGTGCAGCCATACCCTATACAGCAAACCGAATGGTGCAGAATGTACCACAACGCGTTTCCTCGTACATGAAGATCTTCTTACCACTATACTTGATGACCCGAATAGTTGAGTCCCCCTCCCCAAATCTGGTGATGGGCGTTAGACGGACTTCATACGCCTCTGGCTTGATCAGCTCAGTTAGGTTGTAGGTAATTAATTCTCCCTTTTGAATATTTCCATTCACTGTAATTTCCTGCTCCCACCAACGCTGTTGTCCAGCCTAAAATCAAAAGAAGGATGCAAATGTCAGAGCTTTTGGGATAGACGTTGTTTTCACCTTAGAAATGACCGGGAGCACACGCACGTTTGTGCTACTCCAACCTTTTGTGCCTCCTCCAACCTTCAAACGACCCAGGAGGATTAGGGATACAGCAAGAAGGTGGACCTCCCTTATTACTGAGCATTGCTGTAACAAAAATATTAGATCACAAATTGCAAACCCATTTTATAAAGACCCATCTGCCTGGCTCTCCTCTGCCCGCACAGGTCCCCCACCAAACAGCCGGTCAGCCCAACATCTGCTACGTGGAGGAAAAGCAGTGATAATTCAATTCATGAGGATTTCTGATGCCCACCAGACAGAGATTACAGCAGGGGATGAACTGCCCAGGTTGGGATGGCATGTAAGAACCCAAGCATCCAAGCAGATGTTTCAAAATCTCATTGAGATCTTCCATCTTTAGGAACCTGAATTTCTTTCATAGAATCATAGAATTGTTTTGGTTGGAAGGGACCTGTAAGATCATGGAGTCCAACCATCACCTCAACACTGACAAAAACCATCTCTAACCCACATCCCTCAGCACTACATCAACCCGTCTTTTAAATACCTCCAGGGATGGTGACTCCACCACTGCCCTGGGCAGCCTCTTCCAATGCTTAATAACCTTTTCAGTGTAAAAAATTTTTCCTAATATCTATCCTAAACTTCCCCTGGTGCAACTTGAGGCCATTTCCTCTTGTCCCATCGCCTGTGACTTGGGAGAAGAGACCGACCCCCCCTGGCTACACCCTCCTTTCAGGGAGTTGAAGAGAGTGAGGTCTCCCCTCAGCCTCCTTTTCTCCAGGCTGAGAAAGATCATTGCAAACCTCTGTTTCAAACCCACTGGATAAAATGTTAAATAACCTTTTTCTTTTTTTTTTTTTTAAAAAAAAAAAAAAATTTGTTATTTAAGTATATTTTCAATACTTTCACACATGGGGTGGTTTCTTTTTTTTTTTTTTTTTTTTTTAAAAAAAAAAAAAGCTGTTCATTTAAGTTCATTTCATCAGCTTACTGAGGCTGAATTTACTAGCCCTCAGATGCTGTCCCCTTCAAACCTGACCAGGTAAGTTGGCTCCTTGTGTCTAGTAGCCCCATCCCCTCTGTGATTTTAAAATAATCACAGCCAACGGCAGCGACAGACGTGTTTTCTGCCCCTGTGCACATCAGGCTGGGGCGGCTGCATCTCGGCGAGCTGGGCGCTGCCTCCTCGTTAGAGGCAATGAGGTTTCACAGCTGTCATTTGGGGCATCATTTGAAGCTAATAAGAGCATGCTGAAGAACTGAGAGGCAGTTTGATTTCCAAGCACTTACCACTTTTGTTGATGAGCGAGAAAGAAATAGGCTGGCCATTAACGGCCTTAGTGCATAATTATCAGCAATCCTTGTAGTCTCAAAGATGGATGGATTTCAGAGAACAATGAAAGTCAATATGAGCAAACAAGAGGCCGTTTTATTAAAAAAAAAAAAAAAAGGCAAAGCATAGATTTTTGTGCTTTATAGACTGTGTTTTCAACATCAAAATCCATAGTTTCATTTATTTATATGCCTTACCAAGAAATGAAGAGAAAAAAAAATCTAATTAAGACAAAGGCATCACAGGAAGGAGTGCCACATTGTCTCTGACATTAACCAGTTTATAGACAAGCAGAAATCATACACATTTTGGGCAACAGAGTGGCTTGACATTGCAATATTCCTTGCAGATACTCTGCCTTATTACAGACACTCTCTGCAGGAAACAAAGGAAAAATCATTAAATATTTACCACGCATCCCAAGACAACAGTACAGGTGCAGTGATGCTAAAATGAGATGTTCCACTAAGCTTACTACACCTGATGTTCTCACCTATTATATGTTCTCCAATACAGAGTTAATTAAGGACAGAAAACCTGCTATTCCAAAACTAATTTGCTGACAAAATAAAGGTGTACATTGAAATTGCTGAAATCTAGTACTAAATCTATCACATTTCATCCAAATAAACTACACTCGCAGCGATATTAACAGACTCCAAGCTTTAAATTCATAGCAGTGGGACAGAGACGTCAATACTTTTATCATTAAAAGTATGTTTTACACAAACACAGCTCTATGCCCATTAAATAAAACTCAGGTTGCGAAGCAAAATAAGCAAGAGGCATTCTTAAGAAATTTGGGATGATGGACATCAGCTTTGCTTTGCTGCCACCAAAATCAGCTAGTGTTTTACTGGGCTTTGAGCCTTCTTAAGCCTTGAGTTAGACCAGTGCTGGGTGTATCTGAGCTGTTATAACATGACCCACATCATAGGATGACATTAATGAAATGTCCCCCACCTCTTGGTACGCAGCCTGGAACTGGGGAGCTTTCCTCTGTTCGTGGTTTGCCAAGGCCATCGCAATACAAAGAGTTATTAAAGGTAATAAAGATATAAAGATACTGAAAATATGTGTATTTATATTATGTCTTTAAAAGATCGGCCCAGTGGAGCGCATGAAAAATTTCAATTTGACAGGTTCTAATAGATGCCACCTCTTTCACAGCTCTTTGTACCCAAGTACTGAGATCAAAAAAACAGACGATAAAACCCAAGGTACAGGTTGTTTAACATAAATTCAGTCTTTTCTCCTTCTCTCCTCTTTAGATACCCATGAATAAGAGCATGCCACGGATAGTTGCTTCACCCAGGTTTTGCAGTGTGCTATTTTGAAATCCCAGAGCTCGTGAAGCAAACGTCAGCACGCATTAGGGACGATGAGTTCCTCCTGTCCTCTGCTCTGCCCACCAGCAGCCCTGGTTTTATGCCACACACAAACCTCTCTTGCTCCCATCTCACAGAAACCTTCTGGGCATCGCTGAAATCCCAGTGCCCAGGAGAAAAGTGACAAACGCTGTGTGTGGTCAATGCAACGTGTGGAAAAGTGCGTGAAGGTGCAAGGACTAGGTTCTTCTCCTGCATGCAAGGTACAACAGTCATTCAAATCTCATCCACATTAAACCACAGAATCACAAAATGGTTCGGGTTCGAAGTGACCTTTAAAGCCCACCCAGTGTCACCCCCTGCCCTGGGCAGGGACACCTCCCACCAGACCAGGTTGCTCCAAGCCCCCTCCAACCTGGCCTTGAACCCCTCCAGGGATGGGGCAGCCACAGCTTCTCTGGGCAACCTGGGCCAGGCTCTCACCACCCTCACACCAAAGAAGTTCTTCCCCACATCTCATCTCAATCTCCCCTCTTTCGGTGTCAAACCCTTCCCCCTCGTCCTATGGCTCCCCTCCCTGATGAGGAGTCCCTCCCCACCTCTCCTAGAGCCCCTTTAGGTACCCTTTTCTACAACCACCCAAAAAAAAGCAATAAAGAAACTCCATTATTTTATTCATTCTCAAAGCAAAACAATTTGATTTTTCATTTCAGGATTATGCATCCTGAGCCAGTACTGGATATTGGTATTTCTCCATAGGAAGCCACACACATCTTTTTGCCTTGCAATCAACACCAGCTCTCTTCTAATTCTCATTTTTACCATGGAAACCAGAAAAAAAAAGTCCCAAACATCACACAATTGACACAAAAAAATCCCCTTGTCTAATTTTTCAGCTCTGCTGCTGAACAAATAAATAAAGAAAATATGTAACTGCACAGCTTTTGCCACATTCAACTTTCAAGCTTCTCTTCCCATCAGGAAGATAAGCCCAGCAGTTTTGCTGGAAGTGAGGTGGCTGCATGAAGGCATCACCCCCGTGTCTGGGACATCCCTCTGGGACCCCTGCCAGCAACCAGCTGGAGGAACAAGGCGTTTCTAGCCCTTTTTTAAAGGTCTACATGACGCTGAGGCACCTAACACCAACACTTAAATGCCCAAGACACCCTAAAAATAGGGTTTAGGTTCCTACAATGCCTTAGGGTGGTTCAAGCTCCCAGCATGAAACGGGAGGCTCTGCAAAGCCAGACCCCATGCACGAGACACACAAAGCTCTTGGTAACTCACTGCTTGGCCTTAAAGCACTGAGAAGAACCCAACCTCCTGTCCTTCTTCCAGAAGCACTGCCTTTCTGCATCCAAAGATCCAGGCACCTCCTCCTAGGATGGGAAGGAGTCAAATCCACATCATCCACTTCCTCAAAACCACCTGTAGAGCCTCTCCCTAACATTCATGCTGTGTCTTTTTATATTGACATAGTCAAGACTGATACTTAAAAGAGAGGCCACATGAGCAAACATGTCAATTCGTGCATCCAGAGCTTTAAAATTAGTAAGAATCAGGATTTGCTTGAAAAATGGATTTTTGAAGGAGAAAAATTCTTAAAATCAAAGCTCTTTGCCTTACCAAGATAAGGATGAAATGCGTTTTGGTAAATTTACTTTGACTAAGTTGAAACAACAGTTTTCCAGTGGCTTTTGAGTATTTGTAAAGTGCTGAGGAAAAAATCACATTAGTTTCTGGAGCATTTATTTGCATTATCATAGGCCTAACCTGTAATTGAATTAGCAGAGCATGCCTACATTCAGTCAATCCAGAGCACAGAAGGCTTCACAGAGATTTGCTTTTTCTTGGTTACCTTTGAATATTTAGAAATCTTTGTTCCTGAAAGGTACCAGAGAAGCAAAACTTATTTCCCTGACATCAGAGACAGGGGACTGTAAAAGCGTGGCGGCCTTTTATTGCAGCAGGATGAAACCATCTCCTCTCTGTTGTCAATGAAAGGGTATTTATTCTCTGCCTGTTGTTGAGAAACACTATATTCTCTAAAAGACTCGAACATATAGATTTCTTGAGGAATTAATCCTATGGGATGATTAAATATTGATTGCCCATATGCACAGTTATGTTTATAAAAAATAAACACATCCTTAGTCCATTGTACTTGGCCTATTGATTTCAACCATAAATTTCTTCATTGACTCAAAAAGTCAGACAAGCATCTCTTTAATTAATGACAACTGAATGCAATGTAAATTTATCTACTGTATACT